AACGAATTAGGTTCGTGACCCAAGGTACCACTGTATGTATTTTATGTTATGCATTTAAATACATTTTTCTGAGAAGGGGTCCATAGGTTTCACCAGAGTCTCAAAGAGGTCCATGGCACAGAAAGATTAAGAAGACCTGCTCTGCAACTGCTTTGGTTCAACACCTGCTCTAGACAAAACCCTGATGAAAGTTTCACAGCACTGGAGCAGTTCCCTAGTTTCCTATAAGGAAAAATGGCCCTGTTGTTTCATAACCTGCTTCTAAGATTTCTTCCCACACCACCACTCTCAGAAGCCAAGATGCCAGATTGCCTCAACTTCATCCCCGTCCTTTTCTTTTGAACAGAGAAGTGGCTCTACCAGACTCACCAAATTAATTAACATTATAATACTTGTGTAACTTTAAATACTTTCATGGCTAGAATTAGAAATGTTAAGCAGGGTACTAATGCTGGTTAACGTATAAGGACCATAGGACAAGAGTCTCTTCCACACAGCTACTGTTCACCTTCCCTCACTATACTGGCCAGAACAACCTCCATTGGCCAGTAGAGAAACACCCAAGACAGAAGGCAATTGGTACCCTGCTCCCAACCTCACTATTCATCTCAACATGTTAAGATTTTGGAGAGAAAAAAGCAAACTGACTGTGAAGTGAGGCAGTCTTTTGCTTTGAATAATTTTGTTATAATCAGTTATATAATAATTATTGCTGAATTATCATTCATGCTGATTAGTCAGCATGGAATTACTTTAAATATTTTGCCAATTATTTAAATTACATTTTTGGAAAGCGCATAATACTGGGAGAAGATGGTTGCTTCTGCCATGTATCAGTACATCCTACATTTTCCTTCTTTGTGCAATTCCATTTTACAGGAAAATAATATATCAATACTTGTAATCCTGAAATTCAGTTTCAAATGGTTCAATTTCTGAAGTTTATTCACACATTTTAGGGTTAGACAAAATGCTGCTCATCATTCGCTCATGTACCATTCACAGAGTGCAAACATCGGCAGGAAAACCTCTGCAAATCTCTCTTTAACTACTGTCTTCCATTGGGAAGCAAATGCAACCCTCCCTCCATATTGAATGTGCAGACAAGCCCACATAACAGTGTCAGCAGGGGAAGAAATACCCATAGCACTCATACAGTAATAATGCCTCATCAAATTTAACATGGGCCTGAAAGAATTTAGGATCTGTCTGGCTTTCAAGATTCACTTTTTTCAATTTTTTTTGTAAAACTGGTTTCATTTCAACAGCATTTTCAGATAAGTACACTAGCTGTGAGTTAAGTTACCTTGATTTTCAAGTTCCATTGGTTTCTGGAGGATGTGGGGGTCTTGTACAACCAATAGCATGCCTGAGTCTATTTTTTACCCTGATTATTTTCAGATTGACATCTTTTTTTCTTTTGATAGTTACACGCAGAAGCCCAGTTCCATGTGGTTTTCAACAATTTCAAATGTAACATCGGGGGTTGTGCAATGGTGAATAGAATGTGAAGGATGTGTTTTTTATTCTATGGTTTTTATATTTATAAGGTGCACTGGGGATGGCATTTAATTTCGTTGTATGAGGTACAATTACAATAAAGTTTACTTATTACTATTACAGCATGCTGGTTGGTATCCTGCACATAATGAAAGCTTTTGAGCAAACAATTCAGTTCCATCACTTTTCTATGTTCATGTCTATATTTTAATATGTTTTAACAGACATATGCTGCCAGACTGGCTAATGTATCATACATTACTGATCAGTATAATTCAATGATTTTGGCTAATCTCACTCAAGTATTTGCTACACAGATCATCACTGTTCAATCATTTCTCAAGTTCAACTAGTATTTAACCTCACTGTTATTCACATTTTGTAGTGACACAGATTTTTCAGAATTAAAACCCAGGACTGGCCTGATTTTTATGACTGAAAACATTTACATGTCAATTACTCCTTTAATGCCATTTTAACTGCCCCATCTTCCTTCTTCTCTTTGATCCTGTGATTCACAGACTGTAGCATGTATTCAGCTGCTGCAGAAAAAAAATCTTTTGAGTTGAGTTTTTT